AGTAACCCCCCCACCAAAATACATACATATATATATATATATATATATATATATATATATATATATATATATATATACTAGCAGTAGAGCCCGACGTTTCCCTGGAGATGTAACAGTAAGAGATAGATCAAGTATTGACCATCATAAAGACTGAAAAATAAAATTGACAAAGATTATTGTTTAAGGTTGACGGACACGCATGTCTTAATTAGTTTTTTTTTTTTTTTTACGAATTGGTCGAACCAAACTCAAACAAAAAACATTGTTTTCAATCGTTATGGATCTACTGATTGAATAGAATTTTATTATAAACAATTGGAAAATGGAATTTTAAAGCATTCTGTATTTAAAAATAAAAGAAAAAAAAGCGCAAGACAATAAGAAACACTACCTGCCAAAAAAAAAAAGAAGTTTTGTTGAAATCGGTTGAAAAATGTAGGGAAATCCGATCCCATATATAAACGAACACACACACACACACACACACACAAACAAACAACTTGGGTTTTTATAATAAGTGTAACTCGATATGAGTTGTCCCCCTTTCATTCTCGTGTTGCCTCTTAATCGTGTTTTCAAATTGATTTCATACAAAAACAATTGTGTTTTTCCCATTTTTGGCGCTGTTAGAACCACCACTAGGTAATTTTACGTAGTCCTGTGATGTTTTATTGAAATCGGTTGAAAAATGTAGGAAATCCGATCCAATATATAAACATACAGACACGCACACACACACAATCTGCGTTTAATAATAAGTAAGATATATATTACTATGGTAAAAATACCAGCAATACATTCATGGAATATACACACAAACAAACTATATCAAATAAAACCCATTCTGACTGTACAACATCACAGTACCGGACACTCAAGGAAAGCTGGTGTTACAAGAATCAAAATCGGACGCATCCATATAACCCACTCCTTCCTGCTAAAAAAATGAAATCCCTCCAAAATGCCCTAAATGCCAAGAAGTGTCAAACATTTTTTAACTAACCGCAAAAAAAATTGACACCTTGCAAATACTTCTTCAATGTACCGAACCTTAGGGCCCTCTTTGAGAGTGTCGAACCCAAAGAATTACTCGAGAAGCAATGACTGCTCAGTCAATTTATGCTAAATGTTTCCCCGTAAGGAAGCGGCTAATATCACCATTAACATTAGAGATCAGAAGAACAGATCCTACACTCTGATCCCAAACGCGTTGGCCAGGGAGTGAAGAAAAACATTACTGGCTCCTCGGTCAATAAATGACTGATATTACACCGTTACCATCAGACATAAGGAGAACAGATGCTACACTTTGATTCTAGGACGATTATCAGAGAGTGAAGACAAACATAACTCGAGTAGCATTGTCTTCTCGGTCAATGAATGTCAAATGTTTCCATATAAGGAAACGGTTATTATTACCATAACCATTAGAGATGAGGAGAACAGATGCTACACTTTGATCTTAACCTGGTGGCCAAGGAGTGAAGAAAATCATAACTGAAGAAGCATTGGCTCAGAAGATCAGAGGAACATATACTACACTCTGATCCCCAGCCCGATGGCCTGGGAACGTAAAAAGCGTTACTTAGCGATACTTGCTGCTCGGTCAATAAATGCCGAATGTTTCCTTATAAGGAAATGACTGAAATTACACCGTTACCATCAGACCTAAGGAGAACAGATACTACACTTTGATCCTAGGACGATTATCAGAGAGTGAAGACAAACATAACTCGAGTAGCATTGTCTTCTCGGTCAATGAATGTTAGATGTTTCCATATAAGGAGACGGTTATTATTGCCATTATCATTAGAGAGAAGTATAACAGATACTACACTCTGATCCCAACCCGCCAAATGTTAGCAAATGTTAGAATTCTTAAAAGTAAGAAAACTCTGCCCCCAAATATAAAAAAAGGAAACCGAATAAACACCCGGCTGCATAATGCAACTAAAAGTGAATTACATCCCCACTCTTATATAAGAACGACTTATAAAAGAATCTGTCTGCAAAATAGACGCAAAGTAAAAGCAAATACTAAAACTACCCGATTCGGCACAAAATGACACGTGTGGTTGATTTGCCGGTAAAATAATCGACCTAAATCCAAATCCAGCGTATTCTGCCTCTATAAATCCAACGACAGGCTGTGGATTTGGGTCCAGGCCGTACGGCAGTACTTAAATAATTTGATTCAATCTTAAGGAGTAGGGAAATATCTTTCGGTGAATAATTATTGTAAATTAGCTTTCGTTAGAGCGGCCTTAAGCCACACCACATTATAGCATGGGTGGGCATACTACGGCCCGCGGGCCACCTGCGGCCCGCCAAAAGAATTCATGTGCCCCGCCAAATGTTAGTAAATTTCAAAGAGAAACTTACCAAGCAACGCCAAATAATTGTTACAAGCAATTTGACGTCTAATTTTAACAAACTGTTAAATGACTGCAGTCAAATACATTATTCTCATTGAGTCAGTGAGATCCGTCTGATACTGAGTTACTTTGTTTTGCAAATAAATCTATTTCAGGTGAAGTTACTACTTCAAAATATAAATAATTTTTTTTTCTTTAAACTGAATTAATTTGTTTTCAAGCAAATCTGTTTAATGTGAAGTTCCTACTTTAAAATCTAAATTAATTTCTTTCTTTAAATTTAGTTACTTTATGTGTTCTATTTGCAGTTTCTAATTTAAAATATAAGTAAGAATTTTTTTTTATTTCTTTACGCAGACTAAATTTGTTTTTCAAATAAATATATTTTCTATTTTAGAATATTAATTAATATTAGGTTGTCTCAAAAGTTCGTAAACACTTGCGAAAAATTGAATTTTTATGCAACACAATCCAGCCCAATCGAGACAAGCGATGGGTTCAGAAAGGGCAAGAGATACCGTCGGTTTCAAAACAAGATCGATTCGGCAAGAAAGTCATGTTGTGCGTTTGGTGGAACTTTGAAGGAATCGTGCATTTTGAGTTGGTTCCGAATGGTCGTGCCATCAGTGCTGAACTTTACTGTCAACAACTGGTGCGGGTCTACGAAAAGTTGAAGCAAAAGTACCCAGCTCTGATCAACCGAAAGCGCACTTTGATGCAGCAAGACAATGCCAAGCCACACACCGCCAGGAAGACGAAAGACAAGTTTGAAGAGCTGGACGGCGTTGAGGTTCTGCCACATCCAGCCTACAGTCCTGACTGTGCTCCATCAGATTACGGCCTTTTCCGCTCAATGCAACACTTTCTAAAGGGCCGCCGATTCGACTCGTTTGATGAAGTCGAGGAAACGTGTCAAGAATCCTTTGATTCGAAGCCGGCTGAATGGTACTTTCACCAGATCCGAAAGCTTGCAGATCGATGGCAGAAAGTCTTGGAAAATGATGGTTTTTATTTTGAGGAATAATTTTTGTTGTTTTTGTTATTACTTGGCGAGTAAAATTTCAATTTTTTGCAAGTGTTTACGAACTTTTGGGACAACCTAATAAAACATCTTTTTCTTAAAAAAAGATCCTTTTGTCTTTCAAATGTGTTTAATGTAAAGCTTCAACTTAAAAATACTTATCAATATTTTTCTTTAAAGTATTTTCAAATGAGTTACTTTGTCTTTCAAATAAATGCGTTTCATGTGAATCTTCTACAGTACTTTAAAATATTAATTAGTATTAATTAATTGCATTTTTTTCTTTAAAAGTCTTTTTTGCCAATTTTAAATATTAATTATTTTGGGTTAATATAATATGCATCCCAATAAAATTGTGAATTTTTGAATGTGGCCCTTGCACTGAAAAGTTTGCCCACCACTGCTTTATGTCTCCCGTGTGTGTTTGTGTGCATGCTCAGCAGTAGATGGACAAAACATAAGGTTCGAAATAACTGTTTTATTTCTGGTTGAAAAAGAATGTGCAAAATAATAGTATTTTGCGGGGAAAAAAGCGGGGTTTCTCAGTTAGCCATGTCCTTGAGTAGATGTTTTGTACAGAGGGATTTCTTCGCTTGTTCCCATGGGGAAACTGTAAAACTGCTAGGACAGGTACTCGTCTTCTACAGCAAGGGTTGTGTGTAGTTTTTCTTCTGGTAGGTGTCTCGAAGGGAGATTTCTCCGCCGATTCCCATGAGAGGAACGAAAAATCTGAGTGAAGCTGCCAGGACAGACCTCGTCTTCTGCAGCAAGGGTTGTGTATAACCCTTCGAGCTGGGCTTGAAGGTAGACACCGCTAAAAATGAAAAGTGCGAAAGGGAGATGGCAGTGACAGTAGAGACTACTGGAAAAGGGGAGGGGGAAAGTGGCCGAATAGGGCTAGGTCAAGGTTTTTACCATTTCTGGGACTTCTGGTTGTAGTCTGCTGATTACGTCCGTTGATGCTACTACTAAATCGAGCAAAGTAAGGAATTCCTCATATACCACAATAGCCAAAAACTGAGATAGTTGCCATAATCGAAATATATATATATATATATATATATATATATATATTATATATATATATATATTTGTTGGATAGATGTGAGTTTGTGACCCTGGGTTTCACGCTTTAGCGATCGTCAGATAAACTGATTAATTTTTTAAAAAATCTGGGTTTATGTAGATTGCGTGTTTTGGTGTTATTGTGAAAGTGGTGGGGGAAAAACACACAATCTACATAAACCCAGATTTTTAAAAAATTAATCAGTTTGTCTGACGATCGCTAAAGCGTGAAACCCAGGGTCACAAACTCACATCTATCCAACCAAATATGTTAGCTCTATCTCTGATATTGAGCGCTTTCTAATAATACCGCGCATATAATATATAAATAATTATACATATATATTTTATTTATATTTATATACACTTTTCACATATATATATATATATATATATATATATATATATATATATATATATATATATATATATTTTTTTTTAGGTAGAGGTGACTGTTCTTAATATTGAAACAGGATAAAAAATCGACACGTGACTGAGATGTTTCTGGGCTTATTGTTTTTATTTACAAATGTCATGATTCAAATGCAGACCCACACAGATAGATAGATAGATAGATAGATAGATAGATAGATAGATAGATAGATAGATAGAAAACAGAGGTTATAACCGATTGTGATAGGCAAATATATACACTGAAAAGGGTTTTAAAAGAGTGACGGAAACTTCTTACACAATTTCTCTCAAATCTCTCTCTTTTTCTTCTCGTCTCTCTCTCTCTCTCTCTCTCCATTTATACCTCTCCTTTTCTCACTCTCCAATTCGCTCACACACAAAGAAAGAAAGAAATAAAGAAAGAATGAATGAAAGAAAAAGAAAGAAAAAATGATGAAAAGGAAAGAACAAACGAAGGAACAAAGAAGAAAAGAAACAACAAGAACGAACGAACAAAAGAAAAGAAGAAAGAAAAAGAAACGAACGAACAAATAAAGAAAGAAAAAAGAAAAGGAAAGAACGAACGAAGAAAGAAAGAAAAGGAAAGAACGAAAGAAAAATGAAAGAAAAAGAAAGAACAATCGAAGAAAGAAAGAAAGAAAGAAAGAAAGAAAGAAAGAAAGAAAAGGAACAAACATAGAAAGAAAAAAAGTCAGAAAAAGGGCGACAGAACGAAGAAAGAACGAAAAAAGAAAGAAAAGAAAGAAAGAAAGAGAAAGAACGAACGAAGAAAGAAAGAAAAAAGAAAGATGAGGAAAGAACGAACAAAGAAAGAAAATTAAAGAAAGAAAAGGAAGAAATGAACTAATGAATGAACGAACGAAAAAGAAGAAAGAAAAAAGATAGAAAGAAAAGTGACGAACGAACAAACGAATGAACGAATGAAAGAAAGAAAGAATAAAGAAAGAAAGAAAGTACAGCAAGGAAGAAACGAAACAAAGAAAAGGAAAGAAAGAACGAATTTACGTACGAAAGAATAAAGAGAGAAAGAGAAGGAACGAACCAACGAATAAACGAACGAACACAGAAAAAAGAAAAAAAACCCAAAAAGGAACGCACGAACGAACGAATTTACAGACGAACGAATAAAGAAAGAAAGAAAAAAAGAAAGAAAGAAAGAAAGAATGGAAGGAATGAAGAAAGAGTAATATTGAAAAGCATTAATCTTAACTTCCGATCATTCAAATTAACGAAGAGGAGGAGTGATTGCTCCGATATTGTTATCGTAATTTAATCGATACTTCCATCAATTATTATGCAACATATCGGAATCAATGTGTTCGAGAATCCTAACTCGTTCATCTTTGTCGGAATCGAATCAATTTCAGAACCCCACCACAACCCCGGCCTCACAGAATTCTTGGTTATTTGACCACGATACAGTTCATCATTGCACACGACGCAATCAATGATACTAGATTTCGCCGCGTTCAGATTAGACACACCCGTAGCTTTTATTCCCTTCATTAAGGGGTTACACGAAACGGAAAATTGTTTGAGCATTCGACTATGGAGATAAGGAGCCCTAATAATAATAATAATAATAATAATAATAGCAACAACAGCAGCAGCAGCACCATCGCCATGACAAAATGACCACTCATCTGCATTGGTGCCTATGTAGGAAGTATGGACGAAGTATAATGCAACCACAAGTATACAGACGCTGACTGAAAACAACCATTCGATATCTTATGGGATTTCGGCGGTCAGACAGACCGCGTCCTTGAGGCTACTACAACTTGACATCACTGCCGTTGACAAAGAAACAAGAAAATTCCTCCTCATCGGTGTTGGTCATTCCTTGTTTCCGTGATATGAAGATCATAGAAATTGACAATCGTAAAAAAGGGTACCGAGTTCCGGATAGATATTGCCGGAAAGTGGGACATTCAGGTCACTACCGTCCCAGATGTCATTGTAACTATACCATCGACCGTAAAGTCGGATATTGAGAAAATCAGAATAAAGCCAAGTATCCCATCGTTTCGGGAGTTGCTTCGCACTGTGAAAGACACGTTCGGCGGGTTTGCGTATTCAGCATTTGATAATTTCGCGGCAATACAAAAGTTTTAGGTAGTTTTGATCAACATTTCTTTTCGTGGTTAGCCATAATGAATTCTAAATGTAGGACTACCTTACACTTAAGTAAAATAATAAAAATAATAATATTTATTAAGAATTTATTACAGGAAATATCAAGTTTTACGGAAACATTGTTGACAATAATGAATTTAGTTACATAACAAATAAATAAAAATAATGTAAATTTTCAGGCTATAAACGATTGGTTTTTAGGTATTTTTCATTAATAATTTGTCAGCAATGCTAAGTTTCCAAAGTTGAACAAACTGGAGCTATTTCGTTTATGCTTTGTTACCTCTCTTTTCCATTGTTGTTTTTAGATCGCTTTCTTCCAGCCATTTTGATGGGCAATAGCAAAATTCTGAAATTTCCAATGGTCTTATTCCATTTCAAAAATAAAGCCTGTAAAAAGGAATGTTTTAAATTAATTATACGACAAAAAATAAAATGCTTTTCACAAAAATCCTTAATGATTTCACTATAATTATGTAACAATAATGTAATGATATTCCGCAGACAAATCGACGGTTTATGTAACCATTGCATGGTTACAAACTATAAATCTCAACTGAGTTTGAAATATTGTGTAATCAGCTCTAATTTTTTGGTAAAATACTTGGATATGATATAATGAATAATTTGCAGTGAAAAAAGCAATTTTCGATTTTTTTGTTGAATACGCCCCTCCTCCGCCGAACACGTCATATATAGTTAATCATTTCACTCAAAAGAAAGGCGATAAAGCCACTAAGACGCAGGGTTCTATTGAGTGTTAGAGAACATGAGAAAAATACTTTTAAGGAGGGGTGACAATAAAAGGAGAGGAATTAAAAAGAAAGCAGTTAACGATTGGCATTGCATTTAAATTTTTGAAGATCAAAGTTGTCTGGGAAGCAAGAAGCCGGAAGAGAGTTCCACAAGCAAGAAGTGCGAGAGAAGAAACTATTAGCATAGGACTTACGATTACACCTCGCCATTTTAACTGTAAAATGTTGAGACCTTGCCGCCAATCTTATTGTGTAATATTGAGTGAGGTTTTGTAAAATAATTGGATATGATATGATGAATAATTTGCATTGAAAAAAAAGCAATTTTCGATTTTTTGTGGAAGACGCACGCCTCCTCCTTTTCGCAATATAAATAATCTCTATCTATAGAAGGCAGGATGTGTGCGTGTAACGAATGCATGGCCGCAATTTTCGACGGATTTGCACCAAAATTTACATGCACATACCCCAAGTTAGCGAGAAGGCCAAGACCGACTTTGCATTTCTCAACTCCCATCGATAATGAAAATAATCGTTTTTTTTCATGCTTCTACGGCAGTTTTTATGTAGTTTCTGGCCATTTTCTACTGGCCAGAGTGAGAGCCAATAGCTGGCTGCCACGAATATTCAAGAAGATTCTATTGGCCAGCGTGAGAGCCAACAGCTGACTGACACGAATGTTAACTAGCATGCTAGCATGCAAAAAAAATTGATAGTTGCATTCGTCGCAAGTGGGAAAAATTTAAATCTGCATGGCACTTTACTCCAATTGGCTCATTCGCTTGCTTAAACTCAACGTTGATTCTGATTCCGCAGAACTGGGTTAGGTGTGAAAAAGTATTTTTTGTTAACATTCTTTTTTCATTCGGTTTTTCCAGTTACGAGTCCTTTTTTAAAGCTGATCGTTTTGTGTTCATTTTGTTTAGTTCTTTTTTCGTAACAGATTTAATGTTTAGTATAGAGCTTAGAAAATATTCGCAGTGTGAGATAGGCAAGAAGTAAGGCATGTAGCAACATCAGCACGGCAAAGGGCACTCCTTTAAAGGCAAAGAAGGGCAAAAATATTTTAAGCCAAGTGTATGAGTCGTACGATTTTTGAATCAAGCACGGGCAACGCCAGGTCATGCTGCTAGTATATAAAGAATATAAATATTCCATGAAAATTGCTAATCTGTATGACGGTCATGCAACTTGATGGAGAACACTAAGGATGCCAGTTGAAAACGAAAAACCGAAAGAAATATTTACTTGATCTTCATATTTGAAATGAAGAAATTTGAATGAAAAGAATGGAAGCTTTTGTGAAACGAGCAAAGAAAACGATTATCGGTTCTCGTTATGGAAAAGGCAACAAAGGGAATTGTGGGCAGATATTTCACCATTAGAACTAAAACGTGTGCAATGGGGAATCCGTTGATCGTTAATTTTGCAAGCAAACAAACTGAGATAGATAGATAGATAGATAGATAGATAGATAGATAGATAGATAGATAGATAGATATGAACGGACTGAGATACATAAGGAACATATAGTGATAGATATGAACATAATTAGATAGATAGATAGATAGATAGATAGATAGATAGATAGATAGATATGAACGGACTGAGATACATAAGGAACATATAGTGATAGATATGAACAGAATTAGATAGATAGATAGATAGATAGATAGATAGATAGATAGATAGATAGATAGATAGATAGATAGATAGATAGATAATGAAGTGTTGTGGCCTGTTAGGGGCCTGAAAGAAAGGCACAGAAAGACGAAGGCAGGTTGAAAAAATGTATTGAAATAACAGAACATATATACTAAATAAGAGTGTTATTAGCAGGCAGATAAAAGTGTCCGTCCGAACTGCCAGGAAGACTCCCAGGTTAGTATTTATGAAGAAGGAAGAATTCATTCTAATGTAGATAGGTCACCATAACAGAAAGATAGATATGTGCAGACTAGGATGGATAGATAGATAGATAGATAGATAGATAGATAGATAGATACGAACAGCCAT